AATTAGGACACTCACAAATACCTGGAGCCTCACACAGGACAGGATGCGTGCTAAAGAAAAAAAAGGCTGGAGAAGACCCTAAACTTTCACCTATGTCTCATCTTTAGGCTCAGCACAAGCAGGAAGTGAAGGCTAAGTCAAAGTTATAAATAGCCTGGCTAAATTTTAAAAGCATGCCCCAAAAGTCAATCTGCAAAGACTGGGAGAGGTTTTTTAATTTTTATTTTTTCATTTTTTTCCTTGGCTCCCTGCGCTCAAGGAAATCTCTGTCAAATCATTAGCTGATCACTAAGCTTAAGAGACAGACTTCAGAGACAATACAAAACAAACAAGAGTCTTTACAAACACAGTTTAGAAAACTCACTAAAGAAGTATCAAAACCTAGAGGAAGCAATAAAAACAAACCTGAAGAGTGAGAAAAATCTGATTTCTAGACCTAATACATTATAATAATCAAAATATGCAGTTTTCAACAAAACATTACAAAGCACGCAAAGAAACAAGAGAAGTATGGCCCATTCACAGGAGATTAACAAAAACTGTCCCTGAGAAAGCACAGATACCAGACCTACTAGAAAAAGACTTTAAATCAACTATGTTAAAGAGCTCCCTTTGTCAAAGAACTAATGAAAACTATAGACAAAGAGTTGAAGGAAACCAAGAGAATAATGTCTCAATAAATAAAGAACATCAATGAAGAGATGCAAATGATAACAAGGAACCAAACACAAGTTTTGAAGCTAAAAAGAATAATGACAAATGAAAAATTCACTAGAAAGTTTCAGGAGAAGATATGCACTGGCAGAGATTTTTAAAAAATCAGTGAAGGTGAAGACAGGTCAATTTGAAATTATTCAGTCTAAGGAGGAAAAAAAAGTGTGAAGAAAATTGAGCAGAGCCTTAGGACACCATCAACTTGAACAGAGCTATTGGACACTATCAAGCATACTAACTAACATACACGTAAGAGTACCAAAAGGAAAGAAAAGAGAAAAGGGGGCAGAAAGAATTCTTGGAGAAATAATGGTTGAAAACTTCCCAAATTTGATAAAAGATATGGATTCACACAACCAAGAAGCTCAATGGATCCCAAGTAGGATAAAATTAAAGAGATGCTACTACGAAGACACATAATCAAACTGTTGAAAGAAAAAGACAAAGAAAGAACCTTGAAAGAAGCAAGAGAGAAGACATCCATCACATGTAAGGGATCCCTAGTAAGGTTAACAGCCAATTTCTCAGCAGAAACCATGGAGGCCAAAAGGCAGTGGGATGACATTTAAAATGCTAAAAGGATAATATTGTCAATTAAAAATTTTATATCTGGTAAAATTATTCTTCAAAAATGAAGGAGATATTAAGACACTGACAGATAAACAAAGCTGAGGGAGTTCATTGCTAGTAGACGTGTGCCGTAAGAAATGCTGAAAGGAGTCCTTCAGGCAGAAATGAAAGGACATTAGGCAGACTCAAACCATACAAAGAAATAAAGAACAACATAAAGGAAAACTGCACAGGTAAATTTAAAAGGCCAGCATTATTGTATTTTTGGATCATAACTCCTCTTTTTTTTATCTTGATGATGTAAAAGAGAAATGTATAAAGCACAACTATAAATCCATGTTAATGGGCACACGGTGTATAAAACTAATTCATGATGACAACAACAATAACAAAAAGGGAGTAGGATAGAGCTATGTATGAGCAAAGTTTTTGACTACTATTGAAGCCAAGGTGGTGTCAGTCCAAAAGAACTGACCCTCGTTATTCACTGATTTCACATTTGTAACATTACCTATTTGCTAAAATTTATTTGTAACCCCCAAATTAAAATAATATAACATTGTTTAAAAAAACTTTAAAAAATTATCACCCTTGTGCCAATATGAAGATAAATTAAGGAATGACACTGCCTGAAAAGTATTAAATCATTCAGTTGTTAAAGGGAGAAATAATGAGAACCTGAAATACAATCAATGGAATTAGATAAGCAAATGAATATACTGAGTTAGAGAAAGGGAGAAGAAATTTCCAGCCTGAGCCATTAGATGGCTAATGGTGTCATTACCTAAAACA